GGTTTTTACTGCAAAGCGTCCTCGTTACAGAACTCTCAAGGGAGCTGCAGCTTCGCTTCGCCTAAATTAACAGTGTCTGAAACCTATCACCTTCCAATGCACCTTCCCACCGTGGAAAGCATTGAGGTGGGCGAGGTTACAGCTCTGATCTGTCATTTCATAAGACACAACGCTCACACCTGCCAAGCGTACAACCAATATGAGTATTATCTCCCCAATAAGTGCCTAAAGCCCTCATCGCTATTCCAGCAGGTGTCCACGAACTGCAGAGGCAGAATGCAAGTCTGACACAGTGACAACATACAAGGTGGCAGGCATAAAGATCCAAATTTAAGACCTCATGTCGCTGCCGGGCAAGCCCTTGGTGGGCAACCTCTGGGAGCTGGTGGGGAGGGAGGCGCAGAGAGGAAGCGAACGGTCCTTTAATCTTGGCCTGGGATGGGGTGACACGCTCCTCTTCGCTGTGGTTGTTATCTTATCACTTTCTTATTATTCCAATACTTGTTCCCTGTCACTAGAGAAAATTATTGACATTTGACTACCACATTCATCCCTCTGGGGAGGCAATGATATTTCAATAGTATTTGTTCACAATGGTTATGTTTGTCACAGCCCTGTGTTTTCTTTTCTCTCTCCTCCAAAAAGCAAAGGTGGAAGAATAGGAAGATACCATGTCCTACCTCTAGGACAATTTTCAGCCAGAAGGAGGAAGCTCCAGTTTCAATCCTAGGGTTAAAAGTAGCACTTACAAACGTGCTTAAAAGCCTATGTGGTGGTAGACAGCATTAAAAAGAAAATAAGGTGAATCATGCAATTTTAAAAATGAGGTTAGGGTAGGGCATCCAACTCCAGAGCTTTTGTTACATCTAATCTTGGGGGTAAAATTAACATCCATTCACCAAAACCTAATAATAAGCAAAGTACACATTTCTAACAGATGTAAAGGTAGCTACTGCTTAGGTTTATACTTTGAAACAGGTTAGGGGAAGAATGTCACTCTCTTGTTTTTAATAGAAAACAATGAGGGGCGGAAGGACATGATAAGGAAATTATGTTGTGATAAATTGTCTGTTGGTGATGGAAAACACAATTTTCTCTATCTTTAAGTCTTCCATTTGATATATATCTCAGAGCCTTCTTAGGATAATTCTGATGCCAAGAGAAGTTGAGAAGGAACCTCCTTTCCTTAGTCTGTGTTCCTTCATTTGTGAGACCTTTAAACCTGACTTAATCATGCTACCTTCGCAGAGATCTCTTCATTGTTTAAGAGAAGCCTAAAACTGAGAATGATATTGGAACTACCTGGCTCTTGGCAACTCATCCTATAGACAAAGCTTTGTTAACTTCAGCGTGTGTTTCATTTGAAGTCCTTATGAGTCAAGGCCACCCTTTTGCAATATTTTTTGTAGCCCAAGTTGGTTTATCAACAATTTAAGAAGTTGATGAATATGCATAAGAGCACCTCAAAGCACACACATTAGTAATGCTTTGCATAAATTCTGGAGATTTTTAGACCCACTGAATCTCTTTCATGATATCAGGCCATAAACTCCACAAAAATAATTGTCATTACCCTATTGGAAACTCTGAACCAAAATGTACTCCTTTATATGCTTAGCAAGTAGAGCAAGTGTTAAATGTTCATAAAATGGATAAATGAATGAATGAATGAATGAATGAATGGTTAGATCTTCCTAAGCTTTCTGCTCACCTTGGAACATTGCACAACAATGTGTGGTTTAGGGCTAAGAGGGAAAAAAAAATCTGTGGACAACAAACTGGAAGCAGTCCTGCCTGTATTAAGGCAATCCAACAACAGTTTTTTTTTTTGTTTTTTTTTTTTACATTATTGAAGATAATTGAAACGGACTTTAGTTAAAGTGTGAGGGGCATTCATTACAGCTGTGATTTCTAATGAAAGTGAAGAGATTGACATGTAGAATAAATTACTGCCTTCCAGATGATCATAGTTTTCTATTCCAAACACATGTTTTTCCAGAGCTTATATGAAATGCATCTGAGAATGTTAACATTTTCATACAGTCTCATGTTTTAAACAATGCTGGTGCATGAGAACAGGTCTTTTTTTTTCAGTTTTCTTTAGTACAGAACTGTGGCCCTGTGTGAGCATTGGTCAGGCACTATCCTAAGCAGAGCTGGAAAGAGGCTCCCCTGTTTACAAGAGGGGGAAGTAATTATGATTGATTCTGATTAAGCCACTCAGCACTAAGGAAATACTTTTAAAGGGCTATTCAATTGGGACACTGCACAAATTTAATTTCTTAATAACCCTTGAGGCTTATCATTGTCTTCCTTGATTTTTCAAAAGTTGTTGGACAAGTTCATAAAAGAATTTGGATGTGATTTTTATTTAAAAGCAGTAAAGGATTGCCACGAGGTGAAAAGTCATCATGGTGGTACTGCCTATAGAAGAAAACTGGCTTTCTTCATCTTTGTCTCCACTGCCATCACCACCATGTTCCCAAAGCTTTGGGGGGGGGGTTCTTCTTAGCATCATTTTGGCCATGAGTCTCCACTGAACAACGTTTCAAACACACTTAGGGTGATAGAAAGTCCTCCTATGTGGTGACACTGCCTTCTGAACTGTGAGGGCACTGTCTTCTGGGTGCTGGGAAGGACCACTATGAACTACGGAAGTGTTTGTTCAAGTCTTTGTGGAAGAAGTAACGAAATCCTTACTTCAGAGAAATGCAAATAGCTCTTTAATAAATGTTAGACTTTTTTCTATTCCTAAATTAACTCACAATATCGGCTAAGAAGGAAATACCCTGGTCTCAAAATGTCATTGTCTCTGGAATATAGAGAAACTTAGACAATAAAAACAAGTACTCTTCGTGCTTTTTTTTTTTTTTTTGGTGTTTGGCTTTAGTTATGGGAATATGGATATATTCTACCAGAAAGTGTACAAATCCTTTCACTCATTTCAGAGGAAGAGGCAATGGGGGAAAGAGGTGTGGTTCTGAAAAGGCAACTCAAGACGAGTTCCAGGAAATTTCCATTTATTTCTCTTTGTAAACTGTGCAGGTAGTATACTCCCCTGTCTGCTTAGGGTTTCAGGTCTTATCTATGAGATTGGGGCTACAGATCCTTTTTAACACTTGTTTAGCTTTGATATGCATCTAGGCTCTTCTCATCGCTCCTTTCTTTGGAGGTTATATTGCCGGAAAGGGTGAGCATTTTCATGGCAAATAAAGAGGCCTGGTCTTGACTTTATTGTCCTCAGAAGAAACTGCAAGAGCGGAATTTATGACCAATGGGGGTGGGGAAGGACCACAGCCTTTCCAGAGCTCTTGAAGACTGGTTATATTTACTGATTAATTGACTGAACTGAAGACACAGACACACACAAGTTGAATTTTAACCCCCCTGCTTCAAGTTAAAATTTAAACTCAGCCCCTTTTTGATCACGAAGGGTTTTAGGAAATACCTCCTCAAAATTCTATTTTGATCCTCAGGTTTTTGTTTTCATTCTTCTTTGAGATTATACATCCTGTCTTTGATACGCAAAAAAGCTAGATCCCTGGTTTCCTATGTTTCTGTGTGGATTCAGAAATCTAGCTCAAAGTTTGGGCCTATGAGGAAAGTTAATTGGCTGGGACCCATCATTTCAAGGGAGGGAATTTTCATTTCATTGAGTAGCCCATAAGTTATACAGCCATTGAGTTGAATCCTAAGATAGATCTGTTTCTGCATCCATGCCCCCCCTTCCTGGAGATGAAAGGGTGTCTGACATTTGTTTAGGGCTTGTAAATTCCAAGTCAATCGGTTGATGTTCCTGAATGTAAAGAGGTTCAGGGTGGGATCCAGGCTATGTAGCTCCTTTGTTAGGCCTGTGCTGCGTCTTAACACCTCAATGCAGTTTAGGGACCCACTTTAAAGAAGTCTTTGTCCTATAGGTCGCCCCCCAAAATCTCACATCAAAAACAACCAGAGAAGATCAGAAGAAGTTTCTAAAAGCCAGAGAAAAAGAACAAGATCCTAGAGGGGGTTAGAGAAACTGAAAAGAAAGGGAAACTTCCTAATCACCTTTGGAAAATTTGAAAGGAGGAATAAAACTGCATTTAAAGGAGAGCATGAGAAATTAGCTCAATGTTGTAGCCCAAGCCAAATGTTTGCATATCTTTTCAAAGCACGTGGGACACTCACTTCAGTCTGCTTAAGTCAACACTCCCTCCTTCCCCCATTCACTATCCACTTGGAAATAAAAAGTGCCTTAAGACTAACAAAGGAAAACTATTACTTTTTCTAATAAATAATAGGAACTATTTTGAAGCATAATTTGCCAAGTAGCAATAAATAATTTCTTTTCAAACTATACAATTTTTTTTCTAAGTAGTACATATAACTATGTCAAGATTCCAGAATAGTTTGCCACACTTGGGATTGCACTTCCCAACAGGTTTAAACTGGGGATAAATCTAGCATATTGAACTGGGAGTCAAAGGTACATGCTTAACTCTACACTCCTAAGCGAAGTAGAACAAATTCACTTCCCTTTACTGAACCTTGGGTTCCTCATTTATACGATGGGGATAAGCCATTTTCTGCATAACACAACAGAGTGGGTAAGATGCTTAATGGGAAACAGGCATGAAAGAATTGCATAGAATGTAATTCAGGGGGGATGTTGCCATTAATGCTCATTCAATTGTTATATGTGGATGGGAATGGAATGGAAATTCATGGGTTGGTTGAGTGTTTATTTTAAATGTTTTGATATAACAGTAGGTCAGTGGTGGAGTAGCTGTAATTTGACTGATCATTTCAGGAGAAACATTAAAAAGATGTTTGTTTCATATATATAGTAGAATGATGGATGTTATTATACACATCGAGCTAGACATAGATATCATGGCCACAGATGATAATGCAATTAGTGAAGAAATAGTCATGACATATTTGGTTTAAAAATACATTTAATTTATAATTAAAAGTAATAAATGAAAGTCAGAAGAGTAACTGGTTCTTTCAACCCAAATAACCTCCAAAGAAGCAAATTAAGATGAAATGTTGTGCTTTCTCCCCCAACAGGGAAAACCAGAACAAAAGAAAAATACCGTGTGGTTTACACCGATCATCAAAGGCTGGAGCTGGAAAAGGAATTTCACTGCAATAGATACATCACCATCCGGAGGAAGTCAGAGCTGGCAGTTAACCTGGGCCTTTCTGAGAGACAGGTATTACCAAACATGTTCCATGTAGTCATTTCAATTGTCTGTGCTTTGGAGGAAACAGCAAAATAGAGGAAAGATGCTTTCTTCAAGCACCCCTAAATCCACACTCATCCTATGTTGTTTCATTGGCCTTTGGATTTATTAACTATTTAATGGGTGGATATCATGTGGGCCTGGGAAAGAAGAGATGGAGCAGATAGATGAAAAGAGATTAGAATTCCAATACAATTCACCAATCAAGCCAAACCTTGATCTGATCTCTTGAGTAGTACCAGCAGGTGTGAGAAGTAGAAATTTCACAACTGTGGCCACTCTCTGCTCCCAACCAGTCAAACTACAAAGGGAACTGCACACCAGTGCAGCTCCATGGATGGAGCTTTTCTGTCATTCAAGATAGGAAATACAGTCTTTTCTGGTCTATATGATGTTATGATGCCCGCTTTGAATTTAGTTTACTTTGAGTACTCAATGAAGGCCAAGGTACAGCAAAGGTTAGCAGTTTCCGCTCATTCAGCCTTTGCAGTTACATGAGCACTTGGTGATTTTTTCCCTTGAATCTATGAGTGAGGCAGAAACCATAGAAGTCTAGAAAGGTAAAGTAGTACATTGCCTTATCTCAAGCAATTTGCCTTCCATCCATGTGTAAGCACATTAACACCACTCTGGTGTTGATTTACAACAAGAAATAGATGGTATTTCATGACCCTGTTCATCCAGTTCTAGGTGTTGTTAACTTTGTAATGTAAGGAAGTTTCTCTTAATGGCCATTTGTAATCACCTTTGCTATTTAAATCGTTCTCTTTCATCAGCAGTCCTTGCCATCCTTATATAATGATTCCTACTTGTGTAGCAGAGGGTGCAAGTGAGTTGCATTCAGAGTTGGTAGTCCTAGATTTGATTATTTCAGTCTCATTTCTTGCAAAGCACCTGTCCTCTATGAGCCACAGCTTTTTAGAACCTGTAAAATGGGTGTACTTCATAAGTTTACCATGAGACTCAAATGAAGAGATATCCATGAAGGGGCCTTGTAAGACCAGCAGTCACCGTTGACTACACTCAGGGAAGTGCCCACTAAGTATAAAGCATTTTGTGTTTCAGGTGAAAATCTGGTTTCAGAATCGCAGAGCCAAGGAGAGAAAGATGATCAAAAAGAAAATCTCCCAGTTTGAGAACAGTGGAAGTTCCGTGCAAAGTGACTCTGGCTCCATCAGCCCTGGGGAACTGCCTAACACGTTTTTCACCACTCCATCTGCTGTCCGTGGATTTCAGCCAATTGAGATACAACAGGTCATAGTCTCTGAATGAAACAAGAGCAGAGAAATGGAAGTAGCCTTCCCTTTGCAGTGAGTGTCTCTTTGGCCTCTAAGATATCAGCAGGGCAGTTGAGATTGGCTGTAATTCCTTATAAGTCAGAATTCTAAACAAGTGGACACACAGTGAGTTGGAGATATTTCAGAAGACTCTAACATTCAGAAACTATCCCCAGATAATTCCTAGTCTATGTTGTTATATAGGTGGGGGGCTGGACTGGAAGCTCAGTAAATTCTAGACTCACGAGCCCTTGCAGCTTTCTCCACCATTTCAGACACTTGCTTGTGAACAGATTTTAAAACACAGTCCTGCTAGACAGTCCTGCCCAGGAGCACATGTACATATGCTCTTATGTTTGTTATTTGATTCTGGATGTCTTTGGGGTCTTTTTTAGGGGATAGGATTAAAGTAAGCAGAAATTTCTCTATCTTTAGATACCTTTTCAAGCAGTAATTAAAAACACCTCATTTTCACTGGGCGTTGGTGGCGCACACCTTTAATCCCAGCACTCGGGAGGCAAAGGCAGACGGATCTCTGTGAGATCGAGGTCAGCCTGGTCTCCAGAGCGAGTGCCAGGACAGGCTCCAAAGCTACACAGAGAAACCCTGTCTCGAAAAACTAAAAACAAAAACAAAAACAAAACAAAAAACCTCATTTTCTTAACAAGCTAACTTGGTAAGACAACATCAGGAGGTTATTTACAAATCTATCGCCACTGGCTAATAAAGCAAAGATCATTTTTCCCCTCGAATAACACTCGACTGCCATCAAATACCTAATCATAGAACTTGAAGATGTATTCATTTCATATCTTGTCAGAACAGGGAAATCAGACTAGAATAATACAGGCCATGTTAATTGAGTCAATAGCAAGGCAGATAGATAGTCAACACACAGAATAAACCATCCTGCCCTCTCAAAGAGCTGCATGTCACCACTTAGAGTCACACAATCCAGGTAAAGATACTGCTGAAGTGAGTAGGGTGGCCTGGAGCTCTTGTGTGGGCCCAGTACACTGTTCGAGCATCAATGTGGCCAAAGACTAGACCTCCAGTCTTAAGACAAGGTCTCACAATTACCTGTTTGGGGATTGAAAATAAGAACTGTGTCTTCCCAGTCCTTTAAGAAAAATCTCAGAAAGGGGGCTTACAGTTTCATGGTTCCTGCTGAGGACATATCAATTAGTGCTGAAAGATTTAAGGAAAAATCCTTCCACTTCTGACTCTTGGAAGTATATTCCTTACAATACATTTATGTTGCCCCATTTTACTGATAAGAAAATTGAGGTGTGAGCATCTGGTCACTTTCCAAAGAAATAAAATAAGACAATTACAGATGCTGATGAGGACTTCTGCCTACAGAGGGGGATCTTCTTCAGTTTGAAATGATAAGTCCAAACTCACTCTTAACACATAAAAGATGCACCTTTGTCTGTAACAGTCACATTTACCTGTATGTTGCCCTTTCTTGGTATAAAGCTATTGCTGTTTTTCTATCTCACTAGACTCTGAAAAATTGATTTTTTTCCTTAATAGCATATTAAAGGCATTTTCTCTTAAAAGACATGTTTATTCATTCTCTGAGTGCTGAGAAAAAGATACACCCCCTACTTTTATGGCCACATTACAGTGGTAGACAGAAGAAAGATAACACCAAAGCTCAAAGGTTGTACTCCAAGTAGGCTTCAATAAGGAAGGAGGTAGGGAGAGGCAAGGCAGGAATAAAAATTCAACAAATGCCCAACAGTGTTCAGTGGGTTAAATGGAGGATTAAGGAAGGATATTCTTTTCATATTTTTCAAATTTATGTATACTATTTTCACTCTAAGTTTTTATCCTCAAGTCATTTGCAGACTTTAGAAGAGTCTTTGCAATTTATTCAGTGTTCCAGTCTTGAAATACTTTACTTAACACTGTCGATCTTATCTTAGAGTTTGTATGCAACTACAAAGAAAGATCATTGGGAGGACCTCGCCTATTTCCAGATAAAGAAGGAAATACGGCCCAAGGAAAGTTTTTCCACAGTTGGCTCAAATCCAAAGAACTGGCCACTGCACTGGTTGAAATGTTTTAATATAACCAAACCAAGTCAAGGAGGAAAGGGGAGCCAGTAAGGAAGGACTGGAAAGGAGGAACATAGTAGAAGGTGGTGTGGAGAAACTTAAGAGGCAGTTATCAGTCTGCAGAGATGCTGCAAAGGGGCTGGGAATTTATAGAGTGCTTGCTTAGCACAGAGTCCTAGGACCAGTCTCCAGCACTGCATGATGCATGGAGCGTGGAAGCTCATGCCTGTCGTCCCAGAACTCAGGATATAAAGGCTAGAGGATTCTTGGCTCTATAAAAAAAAAAAAAAAGAAAGAAATCGGAAGACAGCCTGGACTACATAAGACTCTGCTCCTCCCCCCCCCAAAAAAAAATACTGCAAAAATAATTACAGCAGTTTTATTACAATTCTGATAACCAAAAAAAGGTAAGGAATCATTAGAGAGTTTAGTCGTTAGAGGAAGCCACATTATAATTCAACCCCTCAACAGGGATTACTGGCTCTCGTATTGGTACTTGAATATGCTACTGAGGAGAGACACAAATAATTGACAATCACTGAATCTCCCATATAATGACAACTAGTAGGTTGGAAAGGTAGGGGCTGATCTGAGTATATGATCATTAAATCTTCAGAGTGGAAAAGTAGTCCTGTACTGTGTATCCTCAAGGACAATAACGTAAACTGATAGTAAAAGTACATCGCTAGTACAGTGGTGTTAAAAAGTCCTAATAAACTGAGAAATAAGAGCTGGGTTTCTAGTTTTGCCTGATTCTGTAACTGAAGAGCTGTGTTTGTTTGTTTATTTACATTCCAATCCCAGTTCCCCTCCCCTGCTCCCCCCACCCCATCTTCCATCTGCTCCTCAGAGAGGGTAAGGCCTCCCCTAAGAAGTCAACTAAGTCTGTCCCATCACCTCATTGAGGCAGGACCAAGCCCCTCCCATGTCTACCCTCCCCCTTGTCTCGGCTAACAAGGTATCTTTCCATATAAAAGGGGCTCTACAAAGTCTGTGCATTAGATCTTGGTCCTACTGCCAGTGATCTCATATTCTGCCCCAGACATACCATCATTAACTCTATTCAGGAGCCCTAGTTCGGTCTATGCAGGTTTCCCAGTTGTCAGTCTGGAATCAGTGATCTCTCACTATTTCAGGTTGGGCTATGTGATTTTTGGTTGTCACTTCACCTATAAGAGTCTCTTATGTTATTAGTTTTTTTTTTAAGTGTTTTGGACTGACTTTAAAGGTTTGTTCTAGTTTTAACCCTCTTAACATGTTTGGGAAGGCCCCATATGCTTTTAACTTTTTTCAAAAATTACACAAAATCTCAATCTTTCTCTCTCTGATCTTTTTTTTCCAAGGCTTAAAATATCACTGTGGAGGATTTACTGCTTTGGTCTGAAAGAGTCATAACATCTTCAAGAGTTTACCATGGGGTCTTAACTTTTCAGAGTTCTCGTGTCATCTTTATCTGTAAAGCATGGATTTTGAGTTCAATTTCACCAATCTCTGAAACTCTAGTCTTCACCTACCTACTTAAAACATAAATGCCAGCCAGACGAATGCCTTTAATCCCAGCACTTAGAAGACAGAGGTAGACAGATCTCTGTGAGTTCAAGGCCAGCCTGATCTACAAACAAAACAAAACAAAACAAAAACATAAATACTGTTTGAAGAGACAGACACTTAAACTGTCAGTCATTTCTCTAATCCCTTTCAGACCAGAAAGGCCTTCTCAAAGTGGATCATATGAAATGTCCCTAAGCAGAAGGGAACCTCATGAGATTAGAATAATAAGCTCAAATTATTTAAACTGAAGTTTTTGCCTTTAATTGTACATAAGCATACATTTCATATAACTCCACAAGTCAATTATCTACCAAAGAAAATGTACTTCTCCTCATTTTCCAGTATAACCTTGTCTGACACTGTGCTGGCCTGATAGAGGAGTATAGAAAATAGTACAAAATAGAAAAGAGGGTTTGGTGATTTAGCTCAGTGGTAGAGCACTTTCCTAGCAAATGGGAGGTTCTGGGGTCATTCTTCAACCCCAGAAAGGAAGGAATGGGGGGGCATCCCTGGCATGTAACACCCTCTTCTGACTTCCACAGCCTCATGCACACATTTAGCACACATACACACAAATAAAATAAATACTATAAAACAGTGGTTTAGAACAGTATTAAATGAATAGCAACAGCTAGGGCTACTGCAAGGAACATAAGTAACTCTTGAAGAGGGGTAAAAATCTGATTTTCAATATTTCAAGTGTTCAATTTTTCAATAAAAATTACTGATCGTAAAATTATCATTGAAGAAGCATAGCCCCTACTTCACAGAAGAAATTGGTGGCTACTGTGCCTGAGGAAACACAAGACATCAAACAAAGACTTTAAGTCCATTATCATAAATTTGCTTACATGTTAGGGAAGTGTGCATAAATATCTAAAGGGAAGATGGGAAATTGACATGTGGACAAATAGAAAACAGAAATAAAGATTACAGATTTGGACTTTGGGTGTAGCTCAGATGGTAGACTGTCTAGTACACAAAAAGCCCTGGTTTTGATCTCTAACACCGTAGAAAACCACGTATAATGGTGCATACCTGTTAACCTCTCCATTCACACTGATACAGGCAGAAAGAGCAGGACTTTAAGGTCATCCTCAGCTACACAGCAAGCTTGAGACTAGCCTAGGCACATGTATGTGACCATTTCTCAAAAACAAAAACACAGTTACTATAGGATTTTTTTCCTGCAGTTCTGGGTTCTAATCCAGGCTCTGTGGTCCTAGGCAAATGCTCTACCACTAAGCTACCCCCCCCCCAAAAAAAAAAAACTTTTTTCAGTTTGAGACAGGATTTCATTGTGTAGCCCACAGTGGCCTTAAACTTGCCATCTTTCAGGCTTGGCCTCCCAAACAGTTGGTATTGCAATACTACATACATG